CGCGTATAGAAAACGCGGTGGGCCCCAACCCCCAGCGCACCCCGTGGCGTCGAGGAAATGCCGCGCCTGCCACGCTTTGCGAGACCGAAGCGCATAGGGCCCCCACCCCCAGCGCACCCCCTGCGGCGTCGAGGAAATGCCGCGCCTGCCACGCTTTGCGAGACCGAAACGCAGAGGGCCCCCACCCCCAGCGCACCCCCTGCGGCGTCGAGGAAATGCCACGCCTGCCGAGCTCAGGGACCACCCCCCCGAACACCCGCTCTGGTGCGAGACGGAGAAGGCGGGTGCGCTGCGGCAGGGAAGAACACCAGAACCCCACGAAACATGTGGGAAACAATACGAACCACACGCTGCATCCATATCAGGAGTATGCGCGGGCGCCCCGGGACCACCTTACATATTTTCAATCGGGGGCGGGCAAACTTGATTGCTACGCGCAGGCCGACACCCCCCGACCACGCCACGCAAAAACCCATTCAGCTTGCACTCTGCACCATAAGTCTGGACCATAGGCGGACGCACCGCGATCACTTCGCATTTGCTTTTGTGCTGCGTGCAATGCCCACACACCTCCAAACCATCCCTCGCAACAAACAATACAACATGCACCACGAAACACAATCTGGAGCATGCTCTGGCGCCTCGCGCTCACATTGGGTAGGTTCTTACAGGGGTGGCCTGGGTGCCGGTAGAATTTCTTGCGACGCGCGGGCACGCCATCCTTCCAAGCCCAAGCGAAACATCAATTTGCCAGGGACTGCGGGGGGCGGGGAGAGTCTGCCAGCTATGCGCAGGCATCCCATCCGTCAAAAAAACCCAGCGATCGTGGGCGCACACCCCCACACAACAAACCTGTTGTTTGATCATATTATGAACATCACCTACAAAACCACCTGACACACGTGCTGCATATGACCCACCTTTCCTTGCTCAGGAGCCTCTACACGATGAGAACCTTCTGCAGAACCTGCCTCTTCACGCTGATCGAAGACATTGCGGCGCGCGCGGCAATTGCGCGCTCCTTTTTGCCCCCGGCTGGGCGCGAAGGGCGCTCCGCCGAAATCCAACTACCACTTCCTTTGAAGGGTGACGGGCGGCTTCAACCAAACATGAAACGCACCGCACGCAGGAGCGAACAAAAATAAATCCCCCCCAGCGTCGGGCGCCGGGCGCGGGCCTCCAGCGCGCCGCGCACGGGAGCGCCAGCCGCCAGAAAACATGTTACAACGCTCGCCTTCCGCGCAGTGCCTGCTCCCGCCGCAAAGGCGGAGGTCCGGTCGCTCGACGGACCCTGAATTGACGTCCCTGCCGCTTCGGCAAGGGCGCCGTATTTCCAGCAAGCGCATGGTCAGCCCAACCGCTCTCGCCGTCGCCTCTCGTACCTGGGTCCAGTGGGGGAGCCAGAGACAACGCAGGTCTGCCAGCCGCCGACGCGGCGGCGGCATGCTCAGTCGGAGATCGGCCCCCCATCCCAAGATAGCATTTTATCATCGACATGGCCATCGTAGTGAACCGCGCACCATGGTCGTCTAGAGCTCTGTCAATCTTCCGTCGCATGTCCACTGGCAAGTCAGTATCATCGAGGGGCCTGTTCTGGCCGAGAATGTCGAAGACGCCTCACACAGACACACTGGCAAGATGGATCGACCTTCCCTTGGATCCGTTCAGCAGGAAAGAAGACATGTGTCCATCTGCGAAGCCATTTCAATAACGCGTTCGACGCTCCTCTGTCGAAGCCTCTTCTCATCGCGCATATCCTGCACCAGAATCGTAATATGGTTATCAAACACCGGATGTGACTGTCCCTCGTTGCGCACAACAACAACTAGGTCATCGCGCCAAGGGGAGAAATCCAGGATGAAACGAGCGATCCTCCGTGCAAGCCATTCTTTGTCCGCCCAGACCCATGGTTCACGCTCCGTTGCGTTCGCTTGGTTTCTATCCGACCCTTGTTCAATCATGCGCTGGATCGTCCCAAGCCGCAAATCGGCATGGCTGTATCGGAAAAATACCAAAGAACCGCTATCGAGGCCAGAATTTGGCGAGCAGCTTGATCCGCCTTCGGAAGTCTCGGCCGCAGGCTCCGCACCCGTGATATACTTCATCCAAGTGGAGAGTTCTCTGTCTCTTCAGATGAGGGGAGGTCCCGGGCATGGCACTGGCCAACAATCGGGGATGAATTGTCCACTTCCACGGTCGGTAATTTGCTTTCTGCTGTGAAGCGTAGCCTTGTTGGGTGCCGCTTCGGTTCGCCTTCTCGATATTGTTGAGCCTGGCGCAACCCTCGTTGAATTCAAAACCTGCCTCTTCACTTCCGCGGGCACTCCAAATATTCAGGCTTACATCGTCTCGCATTACAAGCCAAATTGGCTCTCTTCGCGAAAAAATATATCGATGTCTTTCCGACTGGTCCTTATTCGCCGGATCGAACTCTTCCAGTCTCCCAGCACCACGAAATCCAATCAAAGACATCCAAAGGCCGATGTCTGGGGAATTTGGATTCGTGTCGATCAGAGATCAAAGTTCCGGAAACCACGCCATCGTGTCCAATGCATTATCGCTCTCAAGCAGAGTCGCCCTTGCATATTTCTGAAACATTGTTCTTGACCAACGTGTTAAGCTTCCTCGCAGTTGGAAGAACTGAAGCCACTGGCTGGCACTATTCACGCTGTGGGGCCTACGCCAGGTGGGCAGCAGTGGTGGGGTCATTTCTCCCCATCCCTCTCAATGGCCGCGAACACCGCGACCCCTACAAAGCGGCCCACAGCTTGCGTAGCTTCGCTTTCGTCATACATTTGTTCCCCAGATCCTAACATGGGATGTCCGTTACTGATTGGACGGGTCCGAAAACACCTCGTCCTCATCACCTCCTGATCATGCGTTTCCTCCATCAGAGTGACTCACTCACACACACACAAACTCGCACACATTCTGACTCACTCATGACCTGACTTACACACACACAAATTCATGCATAATCGAACTTACGCGCACCTAGATCCACTCGTGTTCAGACCCAGTACACGCAGTCTCACTCACGCTCAAATCCGCTCACACTTTGGACACACACGCGCTCGGGCTCAATCGCACTCGATCGAACTCACATGCAGACCCCTCTCATGCGTACCTAAACTCTGACTAACTCACACTCATTGGTGGTCATTGGTGGTCCAATGCGCATCGCGATCTGACACGCGTGACATTTGGTGACCCCAAAGAAGGGGCGCCAGGGAGAAGGACATTCCAAAACTCGCGCCCAGATTGTGGGAAAGCCCGGACCGGTTTGCCTGTTCGCATGCCCAAGAACCCTCTGCTTCCGGGGCAGATCCTAACGATGTCTCAAGCGAGGCGTTGGTTTGAGCACTCATCACAGGGGGGGGGCGCCATGGGGGAGGAGACCCCAAAAATGTCTCATGTGAGGCGTTGGTTTCATCCTTCCCGAATGGGGGGCGCCAGGTGTCAGAACACTTCAGGATTCGCGCCCAAGTTGTCGGGATGTTTCAGGCGGCAGTCGGCCTGCCTGTTTGTATGCCCGACAACCTCGGCATCCGGATCAGTTTGCGAAAATGTCTCAGGCGGTTTGCTTGCTGTTGCCCCATTTTTTTATTTTTATCATGGCCTTATGCTCACAGCGATATAGCAGGCGAAATACTTGGGCACCCCAAGAGGAAGCCGCCAAGGGTGGAGACACTCCAGGGTTCGCGGCAAGATTGTGAGGATGTCACGGGCGGTTTGCGTGTCTCTGTCCCGCAAATGTATGTCCGTTTGTGGTCCAGTGCCCAGTTCGATAGTTGTAGCAGGCGTGGGTGTGGGGCCTCCAAGGAGGAGCCGCCAAGTGTGGGGGCACTGCAGGATTCGCGCTCGGATTGGAAGGAGGTCTCAAGCGGTTTGCCTGTTTTTGCCCCCCCCCCCCCCCCCCCAGAGGTTTCTTTTTGTGTTGGTCCAACGCTCACCGTGATAAAGCCAGTGTGGCACTCCCCAGGGCAGGACCGCCAGAAGTGGGGACACTTCAGGACTCGCGCTCAGAATGGGGGGATTGTCTCAAGACGTTTACCGGCTCCTGCCACCCTGACATTTCTTTAGACTTGCGCTGTCCTCGCTAACACACTCACCTCCTTCCCTTTCTCCGCACTCGGACCAGCTCATTCGCACTCGGACTCACGAGCACCTCTTCCCTACTCAGACACACTCATCACAAACAGACTTGGTAGTGTACGAATTCGAGCAGACGCAGGCTCACATATATTGCCTCGCCCATACTCAAACTCGCAAAAATTCGAGTGGGCCCACACCCAGACCGCCTCGCACTCAAATTCACTTGCAATCATATTCGCAAGCCTTCACAACCACTCATATGGAGACTACCTCCCACCCAAGCTCACTCATACTCAAATTTGTATTCATTAGATTCAAACTCAGACTCACCCACACTCAGACTCATGTACAGTCAGACCAACTCCCACTTAGACTCGCTCGCCCTCAAACTGATCCATACTCGAACCCAATCGTATCCGCACCGACTATACCCTATACCCGGCCTCGCTCACACTCCACTCACACTCCGGCTCGCTTGCATTCAGACCACCCACGCTCGTATTTACTCGAGGCCCACGCACAAATAGCTACTGCGAAAAAGCCGGCGTGGTACAAGGGCACCCCACACGCCACCAGGCGCCGCGAGTAGCATGGCAGAGAGCGGGCGTAGCAACGCCAAACGCTTGTCTCCGGGTTGCCGTGGGGAGAACGACAAGAGGACGTTGGCTACATCGCTCATTATTTGAAGGTGCCAGCTCTCCTGGGACATGCCTTGAGCCAAAACCTGTGCATCCTGTCATGTGCCTTCTCACCCTGGACCTTGGCAAGGCGATCGTAAACCGTCACGATGATGCTTAGAGAGATGGCATCACGCGCTGGGAAAGGACGATGTATTTGAGGGCGCACGGTAAGTCAAGGATGGTCAGAAGCAACAACATGATGCAACGAAACTTGCACTCCAAGTCCTGTTCTTTCTGAACTCTTTCGCCACAGCTCGGCCACAAAATTGTCGACCACCTAGGCGGCGCCCGTCTCTGGCTTCTCATCGCGTGCGTTCCCCGATCCATCTGGCATGGTCCGTTCTGGCTTCTGGACATGACGTTACATGCTGAATGGGCAGACGTCCTCCCGAAGAAAGCCGCGCACAAGCCTGGCACTGCTGCAAGCAATGCCTTCATTCGCCCCCCTTCCTCCATTCCTCTCGTCATCAGGAAGAGGATCAGGAGAGGGTAGAACACGACTATAAAACGAATAGGGTATCCTCCCACTCGTACTCGAGCGCTTCGGAGATTTGGGGGCTCAACACACTCTGGCACCGTGGTGGACGTGGTGGATATATATATATATATATGTGTGTGTGTGTGTCCAGCTCGCAGCGCCGCGTCCTTCTGAGGATCTGCGCAAAGCGAGGCACTACCGCTGCTCGACCTGGTCTAAAGTTAAAGCTTCTAGCGCGGAGAACACGACCAAGGTTGACGACCATCCCTGAGACAGGATCGTGCCCCAGAACCCCGACGGATTGATTGTTTCAGTCCGCGGGCCCCAAACCTCCCAGCCTCCTTCCCCTTGGGCCAATTCGTCGTCCCGGATAGCGTGTATATATATATACATATATATATAGATGTAGCATCTTCTATATGTTTACAAGCCCGTGGGGTGGGACCCTCACCCCACCAAAACGGGACCCCACGGATCCGTGGCCCCAGGCCCCCCCTTCGACGCCCGTGCAGAAGGCCCCTCAGGCTTTCCAGAGCTCCCGGAAGCCCCTGCTGGGCTGGCCCAAACGTGTCAGGTGGGCAGCCGAACGGGCCCCCGAGAGCCCCAAGAGGTCCCAGACACCCACCAGACTCCCGAAGACGACCCAAAGAAGACCCCCCAAAGGCGTTCGAAACGCACAAAGGCATTGATGTACATTGGTTGTTCTATGATGTTGGGAAGGCTCTGATCTTCGGTCTTCTAGGCGTTCGAGGCCGCCCAGGAGGCCCCCAAAACGCCCCATATCGAGTGGAATGAAAAGGTTTGCAGACAATCCAAGAGAACCCCAAGACGGGCACAACAGGGTTCCAAGATGGCCCGACGAGAAACCCATGACGGCCACAAGACGCTCCCCGAAGCATTCCGACTCGTGACCCAATCGATCAGGGAGACCGCGGTTAAAGCAGGGTGGCCCGAGGAAGCCCCGGAGGCCCCCAGAAGGCGCCCAGGAGGCCGCCAAAGGCCCCAAGAAGCCCTTAAAAACGTTCGTGGGGCCCACAAGAGGCTCTCCAAGGAGGAGCCTCCCAAAAAAGAACTGAGGATGGGGGAAGTCGCAGGGTGGGGCGAGAATGAAGAGGAAGAGGAAACATGAGGGACACATGATGAATCGCAATATTGCAACGGCGATGCTGGACAAGGCAACAAGGAATTATGGGCGAATTGTCGCTTTTACCTTACTGCAATTCCGACTGCCAGCCATACTCCAAGGCCTGAGGTGCATTGCGCGAAACGCCAATGCAGTCTTGCATGACTATATCTATATGTATACATCTGTACACACATGCATATTCATATACATATGTGTGTGTATGGGTGTAAAGATGCACGTATATTTAATATTAGAAACACTCGCGCGCTTCGCGCGCTTAGGTTCTAGCAAGCTTTAGTTATAGTCTCAAGTGTTCGGCATCGAAAGACATATGTTGTCACACGGATCGTGAACCTCAGAGATCTCCACCTGCGGCCCCAAAGACAGACTTGGCTTAGGGTCTCCCCGCTCATACTGGCACACACCTCACAAGGATCGCGCCTCGCAGGCAGATCCGCCTACGTCCCCAAAGACGAGGCTCGAATAGTGGCACGCCCGTCACGAGGATCGTACCCCGCAAGTAAATGCATTTGCGGCACCAGAGGGGAGCTTCATAGCATCGCCCCGCTCACTTCGGCACACCTCTCACACGGATCGTGGCTCGCACGGCCCCAGAGACAAGGTTCGCATCCCGCCCTCCCGCCTACTTCGGCACACCACTCACACGGATCATGGCCCACAGGGATCTCCACCCACGGCCCCAGAGGCAGGGTTCGCGCTGCGCCCCACCCCTCGGCCATTGCGGCACACCCCATCATGCGGATCGTGCCGACAAGGAATACCACCTAAAGATCGTGCGTACAATGCTTCCCTCGCCCATGTTGGCACCTGTCACGCGAACCATGCCCCAGAAGGAACTCCACCTACGGCACCGATGGGCAGCTTCGCATGGCATCCCCAAGCCCATTTCGGAACATGCCTCGCACGGGGCGTGCCCTGAGAAGATCCACCTACGGCCTCAGTAAGCGTGTTCGCGCGGCCCTTCAAACGGATCGTGCCCCACGAGGAGCTCAGCGCACCCGTGCACGCGTGCCCCGCGACAGCCAGCTTTCCGCATTGCCCCGCGGCGCGCAGTGTATGAAGAGAGGCCCGCGCTCTGCACTACACATGTCTGCAAACTTAAGGATGGATACGTGCTTATCCGTGGCCTTCGGCCTGTGGTGCTACTGTGCCTGAGTTTTTGGCCCGAGGATTCTTGGATGCCTGTAGCTCGGGGTCTCTTGGCATGCCCATCGACCTCGTGGAGCGAGTTTTGAAGCTTCTTGTGGCCTCATTATGTGGGCCCTGTGGGGGCCCCTTGGGGCCTCTTCGGGGGCCCTTGGGGGCCTCGTGGGTCCCTGCTGCGGCCTGGGGAGCCCGCTGGTGGCGGAGAGCTGGAAATGTCAGTTGGAGTTCACCTTCTTGGAATCCTCCTGGGGCCGTCTTGGGCCGTCCTGGGCGCCTCTTGGACCGTCTCGGGGCTCTCTTGGGCCGTCCTGGGGCCCTCTGGGAATCCTCGTGGGCAGTCTTAGGGCAATATTTAGGGCCTCTTGAGCCGTTTTGGTCGCTATTAAGACCCAAAGTTCGAATATATTAAAAATGCTCGTTTCGTTCAAGCGCCTTCGGCCCTGTCAGGCCGCTCTGGTCGAACCTTGGTGGTCTCCGGTGCAATTTTGACCTGCGGAGGGAGGCCCGGGAGGCCCCCCAAAAGATCAATCATGCAATGGGCCAGAAAAGAACCGGAGAATCTGGGAGGAAGTCCCCGACAGGGCCCCGGCCACCAGTACCAGCAGCACCACCAACAGCAGCACCAGCACCACTCTCGCGAGACAACTTGCGTGACCGCTCTTGGGGTCCTCTGGGAACCTTCATGGGGCCATCTTGGGGCCCTCCGGGAGCGTTCAGGATCCTCGAAGACGGATTGGGAGGGCCCCAAGAAAGAGGGCCGCAGGGGTGTCCAGGGGGGCCTCAAGAGCAGTCAAGCATCGGTCATGCGAGCGCCTTCTCGTGTGACCGCTCTAAGAGTCCTCTTGGGACCCACTGTAGGGCCGCGCTGATGATTCTCAGAGCCGTCTTTGTTTGGCCGTGCGATGGTCCTCCTGGGGCCGCTGTGGGGCCACCTTGGAGGCCTCTGGGGCTTTCTTTCGCGTCTCTTGAGGTGGGTTGGGGCACTCTTGGGGGCCTCTTTGGCAATGTTGGTTCGATATTGGAGGCCTCTTGGTCCGCCTTGGACTGTCGGAAAACTGTGAAGGCATATTTCAATACATTTGAAAATCTATGAGTTTGGCTCTTTTGGGGGCCTCGTGGAGACCTCGTGGGGGCCTCCTGGAGGCCGCTTGGAGGCCTCTTGGGGCCTCTTGGGAGCTTCTTGGGGGCCTCTCGGGGCTTCTGGGGAACCTCTCTAGGCGGAGGGCTCGAATGTCCATTTGGGGCCCCCGTCTGGACCCTCTCTGAAATTGTCTTGGAAGCCTCTGGGTCCGATTGGAAGCCTCTTCGGCCGTCTTGGAGCCCTCTCGGGGCTTCTTGGGGCTCTCGTGGCAGCCTCTTGGGTAGTAGTAGGGCGATCTTGGAGGCCTCTTGGCTGCGTCTCGGGTCGCCTTGGAGCGTTGGGAAGCTGCAAAGGCGAGAATGCGAGAATCCTTCGAAACCGATGAAACATATGAATATGCCTCTTTGGGAGCCTCGTGGAGACCTCGTGAGGCCTCTTGGAGGCCTCTTGCAGGCCTCTTCGGGCCTCTTGGGGGGCCCTTGGGAGCCTCTCGGAGCTTCCTGGGGCCTCTCGGGGGGACGAGGGCTTGGAAATGTCCGGTTCGCCCCCCCACATATACAAACATACAAACATACAAACATACAAACATACAAACATACAAACATACAAACATACATGAATCCATACATACATACATACATACATACATACATACATACATACATATATACATACATACATACATACATACATACATACATACATACATACATACATACATACAGACAGACATGCATGCATACATACATACATACATACATACATACATGTATATATACACACACTAGAACCACGCGCGCGCTTCGCGCGCGCTTAGGTTCTAGTCATGGTTGTGTTAAGTTTTGCAGCGTTCGTTCTCGTCCGTCTGATGGGCGGCGACACTAGGGCGTTCGCCGCGCGTGGCCGTTGCAGAGCCTCCATTCGCTTCGCTCCCCTCCCCCTCCTCCTCCCGCATCGTCGTCGTCGTCGTCGTCGTCGTCTTCGTCGTCGTCCTTCTCCTCCTCGTCCTCGTCCTCCCCCTCTTCCTCATCCTCCCCTTCCTCCTCCTCCTCTTCCTCCTCATCGCGCCTCTGCTCCCGCCCCTGCTCGCCTCACCTCTTTCTCTCTCCTCCCAGTTACTCCATTTCATCTTCCTTCTCCTTTCCCTCCTCTCGTCCTGCTTCAAGGCTGCACGAATTGAGACAATCAAGCTACGGGGGAGCCTTTGAGGCAGTCTTGGAGCGTCGGGAAGCCGAAAAGGCGGGAACGTGAACAACTTTCAACAATTGGAATTTGCGTCTCTTGGGGCCTTTGGGGGGCCTCTTGGAGCTCTCTTGGAACGTATTGAAGGCGTGTTGTGCCTTCTGGAGGCTCTCTTGGAGCGTCTTGGGGGCGTCCTTGGCCGTCAAGAAGCCCTCATGGGCGCCTGGAAGCGATTAGGCAGTG